ACTAAATAGCAGCTTAATACTGCTGTATTTCGTAGTGATGGTAAGCGCAGAGAACCGGAAACCCTTTTTATTGGAATCGAGGCATTCCATCTTAGTCCTCAGGGGTGATAATGCATCCGCATTTTGATACTCAATCGAGGATTGATGTAGATATCTATGGGTTACAGCATCCACTTACCATCAGATGAACTGTATGCTCGTTTGTCACCACAAGAATGGGTCGCCCCGACCAGAGTAGAACCACGATTGCATTAAATACCAGTGTGAAATAACAGCATAATGCTGCTGTGTTTCGTATGGTGAGTGACGCGGACCGTAAACCTTATTACTGGTAATAACAATTTTCATTTTAGTCCCCAGGAGTGACAACTCATCCGCATTTTGATTCATAATTAAGGATGTCTATGGCCATAGCATCCACTTACAATCAGGTGAACGGTGTACTAGCTTGTTAACCTTACTGCACAACAATAAATTAAACATTACGAGAATCGTAGTTGTTTAAATTAAACATGGTAACGGTGAAGTAAAATTATTCAAAATGCTAGGGCTCACATTACGTTAATTTAAGTTTTTTGACACAGGTAAATATCCATAGTGAAATAACAAATGGACACAGAAATGCCCTTATTCACTGAGAACAGCTGCGACGGCTTTTAATGAATTTCACATTTTTAATGATTAAAACTACACCCTATTTTAATTTCGCCGAATTTAAATGCACTTGCTAAGTTTTCGCGTGTGAGACTTTGGACAAGATGAAAACGCTAAAAGCAAATATTGTGCGCAGACAGACAGAATGTCAAATTCCAACTCTGACAGTTCTAAGACAGGATTATTGTAATTCCAGATAACACGATGCGACGACTTGTCCCGAATTTGTGGAAGTCGTATTATTCTAATGTTAATTATTTTTAAATTTATATAAAAACGTTACCCATTCCCAATGTTTATGTTGTATCGTGGAGGTGTTTTATTAATAGATTCGATAAGTAGCCAGAACCGAAGTAATTATATTTGTAGGCTACGCAAACACTTGCTCAGTGGGGGAATTCGGAGTCTGCAGCGCCACAACCAAACTTTCAAATTAAAAGGAAAACAGTTTTACAAAGTACATAAAATGAGACTAGAGGTACACACGCTCAGCGAACTACATTCGGACTAATAAATCTACAATTGGGTTTGATGTCTTTGACTATGAACTGCGTTAAGTTGAAAACAGTCTGTGACGCGGGAAATGAACTCCTTATGATTGATAATTAAAATATAAAGTAACTAATAAGGAAGAGGCAAATATCCAACCTGGTACTCATAGCTTCACAATTTTTGCACATTTTACAATCTTGTTGCATTTTTTCTCCAGTGTCCAGAACGCGCGCCGCACTGCCTGCTGCAGAAAAAACCAACAATATTAGTATAATAGCAACGCTCAGCTGATATTATATAATTTTTTTTATTTAATTGGAGCGAAACTCCCATGGCGCAGGAAAACGATTCTTTGAAATCTATCTCCTCCGTAACTTGTAGGCCAACTTACATAATTTTTTAATATTTGTAGCTCAACGCAGACAAAATAAAAATCTTTTTTAAAAAGTTTGTAAAAAATAAAAATCTGAATTTGAAGTTTTTTTTTTACTATCTAATCAATTCGCTAACTTACATCTGTGCAATGTCACACCATTTAATTGAATCTTTTGTTGAAATAAAGATAGTAGTTATGAGTTTAGACTTTTACTCTGCTCGGTTTATGATGCTAACAAAAGGTTTTACCTTTGCATCTGCAGCTTCCCAAGTTATTCAATGTAGATTATAACAATACTTATTGAAAGTCACTTTTTTCATTTACCACTGGTCCGCAAAAAAAACCTCTGTCCTGGGAAGAACCAGCAAGAAACCCAGCGGGACTATTTTTTTTTCCAATAATAGCTTACAATCATGTTTACAATTAACAACACAAGACAAATTAGAAATAGCTTGGTAGCGATCACCCTTCCCAGGGTTATTATCATCCATAAATTCCTTAATATTATAATAACCCTTTTTATACAAAATTGTGTAAAATTTATTTAATTTTTTCTTTCTTTTATGTAAAAACGTATACATCGCCCCAAGAATGAATTACTGACTCGGTGGAGTCAAGTAACTGGTACTACTAGCTTGTGTCTGTTCCTAGTATTTACACAATGAATATCACTTATTTTCGCAAAACAACTTTTATTTTTGTGTACGTACATTACATTTTCATAAATGTATTGAGAGGCCAAAGTTAATATATTAATTTCCTTAAATTTTTGTCTCAGTGACTCTTTTGGTTTTAAATTATATATTGCTCTAATGGCCCTCTTCTGTAAAATAAATATAATTTCAGTGGCAGTCGCGTGTCCCCGTAGCAAAATACCATACGACATAATGCTATGGAAATAACTAAAGTAATACAAAGGTATATACAAAGACAAAGATAAAGATACATTTATTGCATAACTGTGTACAGTGTGCTCTTAGCACAAAAACATATAGTTTTAGGTTCTATAGTCTACTCATGTCGGATATGCAACAATGAAGAAAATAAATTTAAAATTTACTACTTACTAACATTAATTTTATTAAAAAACTCTTTGAGATTGTAAAAAACATTTTCAATTACCAATTTCTTAAATTTGAACATATTTCCATTTAGGTAATTGTGTAATAGCTGGTAGTAACTGAATGTATACACGAATAGCAGTAATATGGGTACCTACTTTTATAGTAAATCATATTTTTAACCAACCCAGCTTAAATGGTATAAGCATCATTCTCGGAAAATCCTTGTAGTTCCAGAAAGTTCTGATGATTTTCTACTAAGGTAGCTACTGATGGAATTCCAACAAGAAAAGGTACGTTCCACAAGCTCCGTAGAAGCATCTCCGTAAAATAAATATCAACCTTATTATTGTACTCATTTTGTGTTTCGTTCTTTCTAGTTGTCGCAGACGACAGTGTATGCAAGAGCCGTAAAAGAAAAAGGAACGTATCTAACTGGGAAAAGGAGATCAGGGCTTTTGGGCAGGCATACATAAGTGTCAAAGAAAATTCTGTACCAGCAAAGACTCAATAGTGAAGACTGTATATGTGTTCATAAGTGTCACAGCAATCTGTTGACGAAAGGTAGAAGAAAGATTATTGATGCCTTATATGCACTTGGAAACTAAAAAAATTTAAAAAATGCTACCAGTGTCATTGCATTTGACTTGATGAAAACTCTTCATACTCCATTCATATCCTTTGGTCTAGCATACTACAAGCGGCAATTGTGGACATACTGCCTTGGTATTCACAATTTGACAACAAACCAAGTGTATATGTATTATGTATGTATGGCATGAAGGCTTGGCTTCCCGTGGACCATGTGAAATTGGATCATGTTTATTACACTTTATGAAGAAATATATCACTAAGTACCATGAATTTGATAATGTACAGCGACCTATGTGGAGGCCAAAACAGAAATATTAAACCATCAGCTATTGCAATTACATAGTGAGTTCAAATAAGTTCACAGTAAAAAATAGATCACAAATTTTTTGTATCCGATCATAGCTACCTACCATGTGACCGTGATTTTGGTTTGGTGGAGGAGAAGAAACATAGGAGATTTTTGTTCCTGAAGACTGCAATTGTTATTTCAAATGCCAAGAAAAAAAATCCAAGATTTTAAATTAAAAAAATCCAAAATCTAAATTAATGTATAAATTACCTTCCATATTTCATAGACTGTGGTGCTATTTTAACTACAATGTTATACTGAAAGTACTATTCTGAGTGGTTATACAGAAACTTATAAAAAATATAAAAATGTACTTGTAATAATATTACCTTTTACTTATCATGAATTATACTTACCACAGGTATGCTTCGATATCAGTACTTACTTCAGCCCCCATAATATGACCATTGAAACACGATATGATAAAGCGATTTATCGCTATGAACTGTCAAAATACAATGGAATTTTGAAAGTTCAAAGCAATAAATCGCTTTATTATATCATGTTTTAGTGGCCATGCTACTAAGGCAGGCGTTAAAAATTCAGAACAGTCATATAGATAAATCTAAGCCCAGGTGGATTTTGGTTTCCTACAATATTTTACTATTATCCTGGTTTTTTTTTAATCGACAAATTCCCTTGTTTTTATAATGTTAATGAGAAAAGAGATAAAAATAAAACAAAATTCAGTTCATTACAAAAATATTGTTTGATAGATAGTACAAAAGTCATACATAACTGTACTTATGAACTAAATAGGGAGGTAGGTAGTTAGTTGTCAGTATCCTAATTATCTTGATTGTATTATAAGAGCAGGTCTGGATTTAGTAGGACGACCCCGTTTCCTTTTTTGTCCTATAGGTAGTGCTTTCGCATCCATAGGGGGAGGTGCGAGCTTCAATCTAATAGCGACCCCAAGAAGGTGTTTACGAACGTATTTTTTATGAAACTGTATATATTCAGTGTATATATACACTGAATATATACAGTGTATGCCGTGTTGGATGATAAAATCTTTATTCTTAAATCTTTCCTTGCCCAGCAATACCCATCGGTCCAGTCCTTCAGCTCAATAGTAGGTGTTTCAGGTAAAGGTTCTTTGCAGCTTTGTAAAGACCACTAAGCAACCATCTAAGTGGCAATGGTCAAGAAACGTGAAAGTGGAACATTTTCGAGTAAGGTGTTTTGGTCTTTTATGTTCCGATTGAATGCTTCTAATACATTATTTGTGGCGGGTGAACACAGTGCGGCACCTAAAAACCAATTTGGATGTTTCTTTAACCATTCTTCTTTAAAGTAGTGAATGAACTCAGTTTGAGTCGGCCATTTTTCAACAAAAGCCTGTGATACATTAAATACTTCATATGATGTAGCATTATGTAGTGTGTCTATGTCTTGTATGATTTCTTTCTGTTTCGTTTTATTGTTGACAGTTTTCCGAGACTTTTTGGTGCATATTTTTCTTCACGTGAGCTCAGCACATACAAATAACTGGTGTGGTACCAAAAACTGCGATGAAAGCATTTCTTATACTGTAAGCAGCGTCACAAACTAAAACTTTAGCTTGCATCACATGATCAAATAAAGACAGAACCTTTTCTTTAAGGCCATCAAAAATCATTTGAAAATCTTCTTGACATTCATTCGTGGACACACCAAGACAAAGCAGATGGAACTTGCAGGTCTTATCAGTGGTACCAAGAACTAAAATGGGTAACTCTTGCCATATGAGTTTGTATGTGGCGTCTATGTGCAGTATGTCCGTGGAACAAACTATGTTGAGTAATATTTTAGTTGACAATGCCAGACGAAAACTTGGTTCTTCCGCTTCTATCACATGATAGCTGAACACGAAAACTTCATTTTCGTCATCGGGAATAGTTGTTCGATCGAAAATCCATTTTTCAAGTTCACCTAAGTAAATTGCAGCTCTTCCGAACTTTTCGGGCCTTCTGTCATATAAGTAGTTGTTAAGTTGCCGTTTCGAAGGCGCCTTTATCCCTGTCATGTTGTTTAGAGCCTCTAATATAGCTTTTGGCTTTAGGCGTAAATCAAACAGCTTATTTATTTCTTTTTTAACGTTTTCCGGAATTCCGTACTCACTTCGCGTACCAATCTGGTCATGCTTGTGCTCTGAAGTGGTCTTAAAAATAAGAATATCATTACAGTCGTTCACAAACAATAAATACAACGCACAATCACACTGTGGCCCCTTGGATTTTACCTTGTTACAACGATAGAAACGTTTCTGGTCTTCATCACTGTCCCGAGTATAATTTCTTGATCAAGTCTTTTCATTACTCACAAACCAATAGCAACAAAAACTATTCATAACGTCGTTGCAAGCGCGCTGCGCGTGCGCTCGGACTAGGAACATCCATCCGATAGGAGTAATAGTGTTCTGTGCATCCATCCGACCTCACGAAAACAGCCGAACGCGACCCGAACCCGATCGCGCGGGACAAACAGTTGAGATATTTTCATCATTATTGAGAGTTAAAAATATATTTGATAACCAACAATAGAAATTATAATAGTTCATGCAAGTCGTAAAAATACGATTATTTTGTCAAAACCTGTTGTCGGTAACTTAGTAATCTTGTCGGAGGTTCAGTTAGCTTGCTACATATTTATTTATCTATGGGTTCAGTATTTTATTCGGAAGTTTATTTTTGTTATTCGAAGATCTATTTTTTTTTAGGAGAAATGTAATTTGACCGTTCTCTCCTTTGTTTGTTAAATTTGCAATTTTTTTTTTCGGTATGTATTGGGATTTTTGACGGTAATTTATTATAATGCTGGTTAATTAGAATAATAGTCGGCTACAGATCGCTGGAGATTAATTTGTTTTTCGGAACCATTACAACTAATTAGGTAGAATAGTGGCCTAAACAATGGACATTTCTCTTTAATAATAAGTTGTATATTAGTTTGTAAGCATAAAAGTAACAATAAACTAATAACTTTGTATGTCTTATGTTTTATTTTTACATAACCGCAGTAAAAACTAAAATATCAGTTTAATAAGATAAACATATTATTGTAATATTTTCAATTTTTTAATAAAACTAGTTAAAAAACAAACACTCTACCTGATGGTAAATGGCTACTCTAATATGTAAAGGCTACTGAATGCATTATCACCTCTGAGGACCTAAGATTGAATAGGCCACACCCTGTAATTATGCTGGCATGTAATGCATCTCTCTGTACGCTTCATACCGGAATACAGCAGTGCACACACTGCTATTTGGTGGCAGAAATATAAAAGAGTGTGGTTTATATTGTGTTGAGTTTGTTGTAATCTACCCAGATGTACTCCCACCCTGAGAGTCCAACCACGTGGTAGACAACTCTAAACTTAACCTGTTCAAAAGAATATGAAAAATTAAATCAATTAAAATTTTAATTCTTTACCAGAAAACTGAAGAATCTCGTCGTACGTCCTCTTCGAAATATGTGGTATCTTCGATATATGTGATATCCTTTAAAGCTGCAAAACCTGCCGTTGTTGACCAGTCGTACTACACAAATGCCAATAAAATTTAAATTCAAAATTAAAACAAAAGTTTCAACACTACCCCCTTAATCACAAACATTTTGAAGTGTTTGTCACTTTCTAGCAAAAAGTGTCTCACAAATGTCAGAATGAGACAAAACACTACAGGGCATGGTATCTTAGTAGGCATATCGATCTAAAATCGATTAATCGCAAAATCAATTCTTTGGAGTAAAATAATCGAATTTTGAGTCCGATTCGGAGCACCGCATCGATTCACTGAATCGATCCGAAAACTTCTCGAATCGGACTGATTCATCTGATTCAAGAACTAGCGATAAAATTCCCAAACTGGATGGGGTAAGATACCGCAGTTTTTTTAATTTTTTGCTGTTGGGGGACACAAAAACAACCGGTCATACTTGGTTGATAATTTTTCATAATCATAATCATAATCTTTATTGCAATCAAATGGTAACAATAGATGTTATGTTTTTAAAAAAAATAGTCCGCATTTGAACCCAGTTTGCGCGTAGCAATTATAAAATATTAAATATTATTTTTAAACTACACTACTACAACTATACATATTAGATTTCATTAATAAATTACATTATTAGATTACATTATTTTAAAATTCTGTAAGTTTAATTAAATTAATAAGTCAAGTGAAAAAATACTAATAATTATTTTAAATAAAAATAAAATTAAGTAAAAAATAATAATTGAATAAAAAAAAAAATTAAATTAAATTAGATAGGCACAGGCCAAAGTTGTCAACATAAATTAAATAATATTTGTATCAAAATATTCGTTTAAATTATAGGAACATTTTAAAATTAAATATAACTTTAATTTGGATAAAAATAATGTAGTACTCGTTAAATTTTTTATGTCATTTGGTAGTTTATTTAAAATTTTAACTGCCATACAGTAGGGACTAGAGCTATGCAAAGCAAGAGTAGATTTCGGCAATTGTAGCCTATTCTTATTTGGTCTAATTCAGTATTTTTAATTTCTTTCACTTAATTTGGTAAATAGCTCGGGTGGTTTTTTAGAAATTTGCACGTTTCTCAAATATAAATATAAGTCAAAGTCAAAATTTTAAACTTTTTGAAGTGGGGCTTACAACTTTCTGGAATTTTTATGTTTGCCAAGATTCTTATAATTTTTTTTGCATTATAAATAATTGCTGTGCATCTTTACTATTTCCACACAACATGACACCGTATGACAGCCACGATGGTGTGTATGCGTAATATGCTGAATTAATAATTTGAACAGCTAATTTGAACACAATACATATTTGAATAAAATAAATATTTATAAACGCATCCAACAATATCGAAAAGTTGTCATTTCATTTTCAGTTCTAAAACTCTAATTCTAATCTTACCTGTGGAACGTTGGTCTAACTTAATCTGTGCTGTGAACAAAGACTATAACATACTACGATATAACATTATAGCTGTGAACCTGTTTAAACTGTGAACTTGTGAATTTACTTTATTTATTATCAAAAACATACATACATACATATAGATAATGTAAATAAATATTATATGTTGAAGTTTATAGACATTTATAATAAGGACCAAGTAATAAAACAGATTGAAACAGATTTATCGAGAAATGTACGTTGTTGTATTTTGTTAAAGTATTGTTGTTGTTTTTAGCCTAAAATGTCAAATAAAAGTGATACATGGAATCATTTTGGAAAAAAAAGGGATCGAGTGCCGTACGTGCGAACCACTCCTAACACAAGTGTTTCAAGCTTACCAGGGGTGGTTAAAAGGAATATTAGTAATGTTAATTAATAAGATTACCAATGTTTTATTTTTAAAAAAATATTAAAGTACAGTTAAAGAAAAAATCGCAAATTCTTGAAATTTCTTGTTTAAAAATGCCGCGATTAATCGAAAAGTTATCTTTTAATCTTCGATTTAATCGATAATCGATGGTAGTATCTTCGATTCAAATCGATTCAGAGACAGAACAGCTATTTCAAACAAAAATGTGCGCTACTCTGTGTTCGCGCGGTTGGTGTTTTATCATAGAATAAAACATAGGTAGTTTGATAATTTTTTTTTTTGCGCCCGAAGCAATTAAAGGGCTACCCTATACGTAGGGAGGCGGAAAATGCATTACGCATACCACGATAGCCGGTCTATCGTGGTTATGAGGGGCTCACTGTCCTACCGGGGACCCTAAGTGATACCCTCTAAAAACCGCCTTGGGGACAGGCAGCCGGCTGATCAAGCTGTATTGTGCCTTATCATGAGCGACCCTCTTTTGGGAAAAGAGGGCGCAGGCGGCTAAGTGCCGCTGAGGGAGTGCCTACGAAGGCAAATTAATGTTAGTTATTACAATAATTTAATTTAATTAGAGTTGGCCTGAGCCGCCAGGAGAGTTCAGGTCGTTTGACAGCTTATTAGGCGGGTCCGAGAGAGAGTTTCTCGGCCTGCGGACACGATAGCGAGAGGGGGGTGGGGCTGCATAAGAAGCTGCCTCACGAATTAAATGGTTTGGGTGCGACTCTGAGGCTTTGAAGAAGTTCTCAGAGAGTTTTTTAAAAAATTGTTGAATTGTTGGGAGCTCTAAGTCCCGATGAAGGTCGGCATTACGGACGTACCAAGGTGCGTTCGCAGCTCGACGACAGAAGAGGTTCTGAACTATTTGGAATTCATTTAAAATATTAGGGTTTGCGTGGGCAAAGACGGGGCCCGCGTACGACACGACTGGTCGTATACAGACCTTGTAAAGGGTACGCTTGTTTCGAAGGGACATTTTACTGTGTCGGCCCAACATACTGTTGAGCCTACTCAGATAAAATCGTGCGTGACGGGTTACTCTTTTGACGTGGGGCTTGAAAGTGAGCCCTGTGTCTAGAGTGACACCTAAATATTTGGCGGACGTATGCCAGGGGACAGGGGTCCCTAGCATACGTATTGGTGGAGTGTTTTTGAGACGGCGTCGTTTATAATCGAAGTGAACGGCGGAGCTCTTCTCCGGGTTCACATCGATGCGCCAATTTTTGAACCAAGCAAGGTCATCAACTGACTTTTGGATCTTGTTCCGTATGAAGGGTAGTGAGACACCTTTGCAGTAGATGGCAGTGTCGTCTGCGAAGAGGGAGAGTTGAACACCTTTCGACGGGATGGGAATGTCGTTGGTGAACAGGATGTACAGCAGAGGAGCAAGTACTGAGCCCTGAGGGACACCAGCCTTGATAGTTCGCTGTGAAGAAAGCGTGCCTTCGTGTCTAAAACGAAAGGTACGATGTTTTAAATAGGAGGCCACGAGACGAACTAGACGATCGGGGAGAACTATTTTGTAGAGCTTGTAGATGAGGCCTGTGTGCCAGACTCTATCGAAAGCTTTAGCTATATCGAAAAAGACCGCGATGGTCTTATGACGACGAGGATAGAAACCGCTGAGGATATACTCCACAATGCGGTGAACTTGTTGGGGACATGAGTGTTTGACTCGGAAACCGAATTGATGGGGAATGATAAGAGAGTCGCCGTCTGTGGGAAACAGATAGCGCCTCATACGCGTTTGGATGACTCTTTCGAAGAGCTTGCCCATTGCCTTGAGGAGGCTAATGGGGCGATGGCTGGAGGGGAGGTTGAGAGCCTTGCCTG